ATATGAAACGAGCAAAGAAGAATACCGAGTTTAGACTTCTGGGTGACCCTTAAACAAAAGAAACAAGTAGGGGAGGCAGAAGCAGTAATTGAGACTAAAGAGCATTTAGAATGGGATCACAGGGTTATAACAGCATGGCACAGCGAAGGTCAACACAAAGGAGGTGGTGGCTTATGCGCAATTGGTATAAACACTGAAAGGCCATCATACTAAGGAAAACCATCATTATCATGGTTGCTGTTACTACATTCTGAAACTAAGGGCTCTAGTGAAAGACAAATTCACATGGATTAGGAATTGGAAGGTAGCTCTTAACACTTGAGTGCCACATTTCTGGTTTTCTACCCAAATATGCTTCCACGATCCTCTCCCTTTTCACTTAATATTTATTTAAAAATTTGTTCTTGAGTCACCTTTATTCACCAGGACCATTCAGACAACACAGAACTCAGGATCTGTTGCCATATGGACCCGCAGAATCATGCCATGTGACTACTTTTGCTTAGAACCAGTGCTGGCTTGACATACTCCAACTACATCCGTCCATCCATCCTCCTGATTCTGCTCTTTGGAGGTAGCAAAATATAGGAACAAATGTTCTGAGCCCCTTGTCATAATGTGACTTTGAGTGGGAATGCCACTTACAACATTCGAGGTAGTCTGGCGTGGATGTTTAAGACAGCAGAGCACTACTCCTTCATTCAGGCCACTCTTCTAACAGCAGGTGGTGTTCCGCTATAATTCATTATGCATTGTTTCACCACGGGGCTATCTACAGATTGTTCCTGCTCAGAGGTAGAATGACATGTTAGTACAAACATATATTAATGATGATGACACTATAGAAGAGGAATTCTTCTTCCTGCAGGATCAGCAATGTTCTTGAGAGTTTCCAGATGGCAAAACTTCATTCTTTCTTTACATGCAAGCAGGGGCTTCATTTGGTTCCTTTTTTGGCAACAAGATACAATCAAAACTTTGGAATTTGCTTTCTAGTATCAGCTACTATAATGAATTATAAATTATCAGATCCAAATAGCCCGTAAGGAGAAGTTACCTCATGTGCTCAAGTGACTATAACATCATCTGGGCTACAGAGATCACTGATTTGCTCAGTGTTGAAACATTGACATCTGGTTCTCAAACTCTTCTCTAAATTATGGTTGATCTTGCTCCTACAGAATAGAAACCATAAAACATGCATTCTGCTAGTGATGATGAGACTAATGGTATTGATGTAAAATTAGTGGTGTAATTGTGGTCTAGCAGAAAATTAGTCTATTCTCTTTGAAATATTGTTTGGGCTACTCTTCAGCTATTTTAGTTAACTTTTAGACATTGCTACATTGATGAAAATGGAAAAAATGTGTGATAAGGAGTAAAAGACAGAAACATAAAAAATAAAAATCACATTTATTTAAACAAAAATATACACACAGTGTACAATGAATATGGTTTACACAGAACAATAAAATAAAATGGTATTTCTTCTAATGTCAGTATAACGTGATCTAACCTATCTGTGCCCATATCCTAGGAATACACATTCTTGGCTCATCTACAATACATATTTAACATAAAAGAAAAAAAATGCCAACATTTCATTGAAGTACCACAAGAGTCTGAAAATTAGATGTTAGGTTAAACAAAATAATAAAATATTCACATGAGAAGTATGTGTACAAAGGATAGCACTTGCTCAGGGAAATGGGGATGTGCGTCTACTCACAGAAAAAATGGAGCCTGATTCTGAAAAGTTTGAAAGTCTTTTGACATGAAATATGTTTTAATATTGATAGTGATATGAAAACTTCACAAGACCCTTATGGGTTATAAGGTAATGTCGCCAATATGTGAGTCAATATTGCCTGCTAGACAATGAAACCATACCAACTGATCATTAAAGAGGGACTATTGGATTGTACCCTTTTGTGACCTTAGAATAATTTCCATGATTTTAGGGGGATTGTGAATACATTTGTGCTATGAGTAGGAAAGTGCGACATCACTTAAAAAATTCTATTTATTAAAAGAAAAACAAGATAAGGTTTATTAGTCAACATCACTCGAGTTAGGTTTTCTCTCTCTCTTGATATTCACTCTTTCTGGGTACTATATACTGCGTTGTGAGCCTTGTTTTCTTTTTTAAATTTATAATTCTAAATATTCATGTAATCTATGAGAATTCAAGCTGAGGACAGCTAATTGCATATACAATTGATTTTGGCTGATACTACCTTACCTTTTTTTTTTCTATCTCCTTGTTACTAGTAGCCAGATAAGCTTTGTTTCTTTGACATCAGAAATGCTTTAGACTCTCTTACTTGCTTAGAAATGAAATTCAAAAACTGATTAATTTTCACTGTGACTCAGAAAGTAAAAATCCAAATTTCCATACCTTAAGTTTATACCTAATTGGCCCATGATGTTTTATCTAAACATTAATTGTATTTTCCTGTTCTTAAAGACGGTTTTGCTATAGATAGTATCCGTTTGGGGAGAAAGTTCTAACTTAAAACTTCCAAAGAAACAAAGGATATACTATACTGGGACTTTCTGTATAAAGCAATAAAATATAAATATGGAAAAAAAAGCATAGCTTTTGCAGATTGCAGGTGAGCTAAATGAATGTCAATTCACACTACGGTTGCTCAGCTCTCAGCAAATCACTCTCTTTGGTGCATAATGTGTAAGCCTTCCAACTATTAGGGATTCTTTGTGTTCAATGTGCTCACTGCCCTCTGTAACTGCTGATCACAGTTTTTCTCAGGCCAGTTTCTGAAATCTGTGATAAATGTTAACTTATTTCCTAAGGATTACAAAAGGTGCCCTGAATATTGAATTAAACAGTTGATATATCACCCTGTTTGGAAAGCAAACCTCTAAAACATCTGCAGTGTTTTAGCATACTGCTGGAGTTCACTTTGCTTAACCTAACAGTTTGGGTTTCAATGGAACTCCATGCATTAGAATCTGAACACAGTAATAGGTTACTCTTTTTCCCGCTTTCAGCAAGTGCTAAAGTTATAAACCTTAAAAATTCGTACTGAAGCATATTTTCAGTGATACTCTAATTAGGCTAACATTTCCCTGAATTTAGCCCACAGTTGTTATTGCTTACACTAAAGCTGCATTGCTAAGATTTCCCTTGCAGAACATCAAGTGAGATACATTTTTAAATGCATCTGTATGATTAAATAATTTAATTATGAATAAAATATAAACCTCAAATATTACTTACAGTCTGATAGGTATCTTTAAGACAGGGTAAAAAACAAAACAAAGTTGTAGCCTTCTGAAGAGGCGTGATTACATTTGATACCATATGAATACCTTTATATTGCTTCCGATTATTTGTTATTTGCTGGAGAAAAAGTGATGGTGACTTTCAGTTGTGTGCTGGTAAATGTTTAACAACTGGCTTTCCAGCAATTAAAGGTCCCAGTTTGTAGCTTTGGTAATTTCTGTGGTGTAAATACTCCCACTGTGGTCAATTTCAAGCTACCCACATGATGTTACCGGGTGTGGAGTCAGGAAGAGATGCACAGTAGTATATGATAATCCAGTGTTTCCACTGTGTACATAAAATTGACATAAATAACTTCAAAAGCACAGATGAAGAGCAAAATGAAGGGAAATAATTATGAAGTGCTCAGTTTTGATTATTATCTTTGTCTTCAATAAGATTTATTCAATTGCTTTTGATAATTTAATATTTAATGATGGTGTATTTAACAACTGGCTTACAAAATTCTTGGATATTCAATGATCAACTCTCATGAGTTGCATAAGCCAGTTCTAGCACATCACTGATGTCCTTTCTCCTTGTCATGTACCATACTTTCCATAAGGAGAACTTTGTTGATTCGTTGAGAAGTATTACTCCATATAAATCTTATTCTTTTTCCATTGTAAGTCTTATTTTGGACTTACTCTACTTAATTGAGGGGCGGGAGAAGGAAAGTATCCTTCCTCCAGATACTAGCTTTTGACACTTCACAGCTTTTCAGAAAATCAGGAGTTAGTCTCTTGTAAAGTAAGAACTGGAGTTTAGTCACGTGGTATACTGCTCTAATTAAGCGAGAGGTCATTTTAGCACAATTTGGCAGCAGGAGCAAATGGTTGCTCTGACTTAAAGGATGATTGGACTGACCAAACATCAAACGATTGTTTTGCCATGGTGTAGACAAAAATCTGAGATGACATTTGCAAGAAAAGCAAAAACAAAAACAAAAACAACCACATGAGAAATGAATGAATGAATGCAACCAAGTGTGGCTCTGCTTCAATCAAATATCGGAAACTTTCATGTTCAGCTGTCTTGTGGAATATTTTCAGTCTCTGGGTTTTTTGTTACTGGGTCAAACATAATCAAGATTTCACCTTCCCTTGTTTTTAAATATGTTTTCTGTAGCACCCTGTAAACAGCTAATACAGAATTGATATCTACATTTGATACCATTAGAGGGGAAACATATTTTTAGCAAAAATAAATTATCTTGTTTGAAAATGTCATTTTCTTGGTTCAGTTTCTGACTCAATCTCGATCTCTTTAAATAGGCCTGCTAGCGTTATCTTTTAAATAAAAATAGAGAGAAAAGTATGACTAGGCTGTGTTTGTACAAAGAAGATTTTAAAACTTTTTAACATTTGCTCTTTGATTTAGAAAACCATAATAACTTAAGAAATAGTGAAGTGGATTTCTAAGAATAGTTGGAATCTCTCTCAGGAAAGCAACAATATTGTTGTTGATACGAAACATGAATTTTCTTGATGAAATCCACTTTTAAAAGTATCCACAAATACAGGCTTCGTATAGAGAAATGCAGAGGACTATGCTAACAAAGTGAGAACTTCTATGCATTTGTATTACAGTAAACTCTAGCCTTTGAGACTTTTATATTAGTACTTATCAAAAAAGAAAAACATCTTATCAAAAAAGATTTGAAATATCTTCCCCCAAAAAGAAAATGTTTTTGTTGGTTTTCTAGTTAATAAGTATTTTTTTTTCCAGATTTGAGGCAAGTGTTTTCACTTTTAAAAATATAGGCAAAATTTATACTGTTTATAGAATTTTCACTTAAGGTCTCTCCAAACTCAGATCACTCCTTGGCATACTGAATGAGGCTTCTTTGTTATTCAAGGAAACCTCTGTCATTCTAACCTCTTTACCTTAAATCCAATGGGATAATGAAAATAACCACAAATCCTACCATTTTCAAATTAAACTGAATATTTTAAAATTAATATTTAATCATTGAAGTGGAGAATGAAATATAAGGGAGAATACTAAAAACTTTGTGAATAGATCTGTAGTACACAGCCACTTTTTATTAAGAAGACTATGAATTGTTTCATAGCAATGGCCTCAAATATAATGCCGCAAATCATTAGCTAAACTACAGATTGATAATTATAGTCTGAAAAGCCCCAAACAGTTATCTAAAATTTGTACTACCCTGAAAACTCTACATGAGCCCAGAGATCTGTTTGGAGTCCTTAGTCAACACATATCTTAGCCAAGAAGCTGTCATACTAGCTATGGAAAGCTCCATAATATTATGTGCTGAATGTGGTCACAGCCAAGAGACATCTATGTAAAAAGCCTCTGGCATTTCCAAAGGGTAGATTTATGCTCTGGATGGCATACTCTTCCAATGAGTGAGGAGAAAGAATAAACTCTTAACATCTGGAGAAAATAGGTTTCATTTATTCAGACCGTCGTACTCTACGGTTTAATTCCAGCAATAAATGCCAATTTTTATTTAACTAACTAGCACTCTTCCATAATTTTCAAGCATTTTTAGCATGGCAATTTGGAAACCAGACAAGCCACAGGCTAGGAAGGTAAGAAGAGATTGTAATCATGGTTCTAAAATTCTCTAGCTGGATGATTGGGGTCATATCTTCCTTGTGCTTTAATATACCCATTTATAATGACATTATACGAGATAATCTCTAAAGCAATTACTAATTTGGAATTTTGGAAAACCCTTGATGGTGTGATTTCACTGTGAATAAATTGCAAATTGAAGTGAACAGAAATAATTGTTTTGGTTTCTCATTAGCTATGGCTGCGTATGCCTTAACAGGTTTATTCACACATAGTAATCTACCCCAGACAATGCAGACTTCCATCATCCACATTCTGTAGATTCTATATTCCACTACCTATATTGGAAAACATCACAAAGATACTTTTTTGACTTTTACGAACTTGGCTGCATAAAGTTCAGGCTGATGAGGATTTTCATGTTTAACATCAGCAGGCTGATCAGCTTTTGTTTTCTCGCAGTTTCAGTTTCTCGCGGTACTTTTCTACTATACTATTCAACTTTTCTCTATCGCCACTTCTATAACAGGCACAGACAACCAGAGTTGAGAGTTTGGAAAAGATACCATGTTACAGAAAAGTATCTCCACTGAGTTGCTAACACCGTCATCTACCTGTTCCGGAGGACTGGCCACATCTCGTCTGGAGGACCGTAGTCTTTAAAAGGCACACCTGCAACCTACTTCTGCAGTCAAGGTCATGCATTGATGCTACTGGATGAATTTTAATTCCCTAGAAAAATATTTTCCAAATCCCACAATTGGGCTCTCAGGTCACTCGTGAGAAAGGCTGTGAAATACCATGTCCAAATCCCTCTCTCCTTTACACTCTCCTGTGTTCATGTTGGAGATCAAGCACCCCTCTGTGAGTCACCTGTATTCTTCCTGCAGCAACCTATGTTTCCTCTGAATGAGTACCTTCCACGAAAGGATGCCGTGCATGAAATGTACACATCCTGAGCTGACCTCGGCCTATGCAACCTGTGAGAGGCACTGCGTAGAAGGGAGACCTAGAATCACAATGTTCCTGGAGATTTTTTAAATGGATTTCTTTCAGAGTAATATGCTAAGATCTAATTTGAGTAATTCCTAGATTTGGGCAAACATCTCTGATCACCTCCCTCCACAAACTCATGACAATAAAACAGTGAAAAAGGTGGAGATTATCCGACTGAAGCGTAATTGTGTTCCTGGGTATTTACATGTTGGTAAAGTTAGGTGTCAGCTTTTCCATAAGTCCCCTCTGGAGGTCGGTAGTACTTGGGGAAAGCCAGCAGCTGTAGCATGTTGAAAGCATACTTTCTGCATTTGATATTCTTCAGAACATTCTCTATGCGGCATCCTTCTCTGGTGAAAGGGGAAAAAGTACAACTTCATGAAACACGGAATAAATAAATATGCTTTATTTGTTCAATGCAGAGTTGCAGCAACAGTCCAAGTAAAAATAACAAAGATTCAACTCTACATTTTTTTTCACAAATGATGATACATCTTACAAAATTAAATCCTAGGCCAGGCCCAATACCATTATTGCCCTCGGAAAGAGATGATTAAAGTCTCTTTGCTCTTAACAGATATTTAAGGTTTAATAAACGCTTTAAATATAATTTGCTCCACAATACAGCTTCACTTTAGCTTCATAAATATATCTGCCTTTTTATAACTCTTCCACAAATTAATCTCAGTCTCTTTAAAACACATTAAGATCTACATGTAGCCCTAAGGATGCAGGTTCTAGGAATAAGGCATTTAATTTATTAAGTCTGGCCCTATAGATTTTAAAAGGAAAATTTCATCTCTATTTTACTTCATTATTTTAGCTGTGCAACGAAGAGAAAAATGGCTTTCCGAACAGCCTGGTCCAAGTCTCCGCTTTATAAAGGAAGGGTACTTGTGCACAGACAGTACAAAAGTCACAGGGGCTGAAGATGGTGTGTAGGACACAAATAAGACCTTGTTAAAAAGAATAGAAAAGTACTCCTAGAGCCAAATCAACCCAAACAAGAGTTACAAACAGGTTAATTTAATTACAAAACATAAATAGCCATTCTCTCCATCAAATTACTTGACAAAAAAGGGTAAATTGAAGCAAAGAACTAACATAACTAACAGACTAAGAGATCGAACAGAAGGTTCTATCAGCTGACGGCAACAATGATGTTAGCACAGTGGAAATAAAGTCTCGAACAGTGGAAATAAAGTCTCGAACCTCCCACATCTCTATGACTTGACTCAGGGTTTCAGTGCATTGTGCAAATTCATTCTTAATTCTTTTGAATAAATTGAATGGGAAGAGAAACAGGAGGTGCAGAACTTCAAGCTTTCAGGATTCTGTTCTTTGTCTTATTCCAAAGACAGAAGTTTAAAAATTCTTTTGAGCTAGTTAACAGTGGGAAACACTTTTCCATGAACAAAAGAGCAAAATAATTCACTTAATGCATAGTACGTCTTTTTTAGATTTTAGGAAAAACAAACAAAACGCTTACATTTCAAACATTTGTTGTTGTTTTTTAAATTCTGTGAATCTGAAAACGTAGAAATATTACAGCATTGTCCCCATAATTTAAAGTCCATTGTCATTTGTAGAAAAGAAAGGAATACAACATAAAACTTATTGGTATTTGGCTAATAGTAATGCAAGACTTAAAATAAGCCACACAACTAACAGATGTGAGCTGACAAGCAGCAAGGCGACAGGATAGAAGTGGCGAGAAGTTGGCTTGTTATCAGTTAGACAGCCTGTTTCAGGATCATCGGATTCATTCAGTGCTCCCTGGGTTTGTCTGCTGTTAGACAGGGAGGGGGAGGGGGGAGTCAGGGGAGAAAAGAAAAGAGTATAGCATTCACACAGTAAAGAAACTCAACCTTAAATATCCTGAAATGCAACACATTATTTTATAGAATACAGATGTTTAAGATGGAGTTTTTACGCTAAAGAGTCCCAAACGCATCTGTGCATTATTTTCTCACTGTCCTACATTGACAAATGTATTAAAAAAGATTCCTTGTGTGTGTGTGTGTGTGTGTGTGTGTGTGTGTGTGTGCGCGCGCAAGAAGGAAGTGAGAGACACTATGATACTCATATGAGCTGAATGTATATGCACAAGGAAGAATTAAATAAACATAACAGCACCAATCAACAAGACTACATGAATAAAACTAAAATATGGACCCATAAAAAATAATCTGATAAACACATCTTTGGAAAATGAGAAGAGTAACACAGATTGCAGAGAAGCAAACGGACATGCCTGGCACATTTAAACATGCCATCTAATGTTACTATACCTACATAATGTATTTAAGGCTATAATAATGATTTATGGAGATGGTTTGGTATGTAAAATGAATGAAACATCTGACATGTCATCCTTTGCCAGCCGTAAGATTAGTTTAACAAACCCCAACTCAGCGTCCTTCTGTTAGTTCAGCTCATAAACTATGTTTTCTGCTGCTCATCTTAGACGAGGCCAAATCTATCTCCAAGGGACTCCTGATCTTAAAAGAGATCCATATTGCAGAGTGACTCTCCGGAAAAGAAAAGATTTTCTGTGTGAGTAAAAAATGGGCCTTTGTCATTGGGATTAAAAGCAGCTCCGATCACGGCAAGTCTGAAATACGCCATGCCGATCGATATATGCTGAAAATAAAAATTCTTTTCTATGTTGTATTTCATCTGTATTCAGAGTATTCAGAATTTCAATTGTACTCAGTCGGTCAAGGAGTAGTTTGATCTTTATCAGCTCCTCCAGGTTCTGAGGCAGAAAACTGCTTGTTACCCAGTCTCATGAAGAGTGCCATGTAAGCAAGCCCCCTTTCAACCAGTTGCAGCCCCTGAAAACCTCCTACAGAGAGACATTCTTTTTTTTTTAATGTTTTATTTATTTCTAGGAGAGAGAGAGACAGCGTGAACAGGGGAGGGTCAGAGAGAGAGGGAGTGACAGACTCTGAAACAGGCTCCAGGCTCTGACCTGGCAGTCAGCACAGAGCCCGACGCGGGGCTCGAACCCACGAACTGGGAGATCATGACCCAAGCGAAAGTTGGACGCTTAACCGACTAAGCCACCCAGGCGCCCCCAGAGAGACATTCTTGATGAGGCATTTGACCACACTACTGGCCACATTTGGCCCAACAGCAGTCATACTTACTTTGAACATCTAACTGACTTAACGTAAAGCATCAAATCAATCACGTTATGCTGTGCTCATGTTACGCTTGTTCTTTGGTAAGGGCTAAGGACTATGGAGCCAGTGACAAAGTGAAATAGAGGCTTATCTGAAAAACAAATGGTTTATTGAGCTAAAGGGGAGTTATTCTGGACTCTCATAATTCCTATTGTCAATTGTAGGAGTAACCGGGTTACTTGTTCAACATTCCACGGCACATTAGGTAGGAAATACGCAGTGGGTTTTAAAGAATTGATATCTTTGTGATTAACAAAAGCTTCTTTGTCCAATATCGTTTCTCTAGTATCACTAACATTCCCTCCTGAGCAGTTTTAAGGTGGGAGTTATCTGTAGCAAATCTTAACTCTGTTGAAACCTTGGTTCCTTTCCAGTGTTTCTTGTTCACGGAGAAATAGTCTCCTAAATCAATCTCTTTTTCTCTGTCATCTATCAATCACGTTACAAATGTTACCTTCTGACTAGAAATGCAGGTTAAATATTAACCACAATCTATCAATATAATAGTATAATAGTATAGAAATACTCTTTGTCCCAGTGGGGCCGCCTGTACATAGGCTCGGGCTGAGGAGTACACTACTGGCCCAAAAGTAAGTTGAAAGGATCTTGTAAGAGTCCTTAATTCAAATACTGACTTATACTAGGTGGCTTTTTTTTTTTTTTAACAACTGCCAGAGGACATTTAATACTTTCCAGTCTGTCTGCCAAATATGCCTACGAAGTGAAAATTACTAAATTAAAAGGTTGTATTATTTTTCTAGGTTTGTTTCTGGAAGGACAATTTTATAATTGAATTACCTTGTTGTTTACTAACTTCAATCTCTAGAGATTAGAATAATACATTAAAAATGCCTCATGCACAATAGTTCTATTATTCAGCTAGAATTGAAAGTAACATGGCCCTTCGGCTGCTATAGAACTTAAAGCCCGAGGCCCCCGATCATGTCATAATGTGGACACGAGTGCTCTTGGTGCTGTTTCCTTGCTTTCTGCTAAGAATCGCTCAAATAAATGGTCATTTCTTCATAACCACAAATGAATTTTTAAGCACTCTGAAAGTGTAAACTGCAAAGGATGTGTTGAGTAATGATATTGGTAATTTCCTCACCAGCAGATTATGAAAAATAACCAGTTAGTGGCCGCCTTGCAAGGTTCCCTGACAACGGAGAGTCATTAGTTTTAGCCATCGTTGGTAGATCACCATGGAAGCAAATCACAATGTTGTCTCCACTGAAAATGTGACATGATCAGTCATTTAAGGGTAGTTACTGAATCTGCGGGATAGAAAATGATGTTTTTTTTCCTTTAAAGACCTGTCAAAGCAATCACTTAAAAACAAGTGAAAGGAAATGTCTTACTTTTAAATACACCACTGCCTACAGGAGGAGACATTTCCTTAAATAAAACCCAATGTGCATAGCGTGATGCTATCTGCATACCTCTCCATTTTTCTGTTGGTGACTAATACTATATCATAGATCACAAGTCCCCCATGGTGGCAGGTAACCTCTCAAACCACACAGAGCTCTAAAAACAAAAGTTACAGTTTTCCTATCTTCTCCTGCTGGGTAATTATTCATGAAGAGTTTTGTTATTTAGTGTTTTATTCTTTTAACCACTATAGCCCTTCAAGCTACCCCAAAGGAAAATTACCAATCAACACTGAATTGAAAACAACTTCCTTCTGACCAGAAAGCTGATTTTCTCCATGCTCAAATGAGACCATTTCACATTTAATTATATCCAAGTTTGGAGCTATGGGTACACCATCTTGAAATTATGAGCCAAAATTTTAGAGCCAATAGTTTATAGAGCTTTATTTGAGTCTACATTCACTTAATACATTGATCTTAATAAAGCACCTCGTTTCAGGCCCTAGACTGCTGGATTGTGCCAGATTTTAAGCTGGCAGATCGGTGTAAAAATTAATGTAATGTAGGTCTGGCATCAATAAGAACTTTGAAAGTGGCACGAAAATCATAGAATCATAGATTCTCAGATGTAAAGGTGACTTTAAAAAATCTTCAAGTTGAATTTCACATTTTATAGATAAGAAACTAAATTTGAAGTCCTTGCCCATGCTTTACAACAGCAATTGCAAGGAAAGGATCTTGAGAATGTACTTTCCCTGCTTTACAGTTTGCTTATATGATAGTCTGATA